AATTGCTTCTAGAATAAGGAAAACATGCAGCCAAACCTCTCTGGAGGACTCATTTGGATCAGTACTTTGCAGAGGAATATTTCTGCATATACTGTATGTGTGTACATCTGTATGTATACTTCTGAGTAGCAAAGCTTACTCTAAATATGACATTATTAATTCTTAAAAGGAGTAGGTTATCTTTGGCTTCTCTTTGCCCCTTTTTATTTTCCAATTGAACTTATTAGAGCACAGATTTCTGCTATCCCTGAGTCCTGTCACATTTCTGTTATTTCCTCTGTCATTGACTTGGGTAGCTCTGACCTATATTTTTCTTTTCTTCGTTGCTAAACAAAAACTGACTTCTTTCTGGGGGGCTAGAGAAACAAGACTTATGTGACCAATATGTTTCCCAACCCTCACACGAGAAAGAGGGTGCACCCAACACTATCAACAAACAACCCTGTGTCAGTCATAGAACCAGATGCTGTAAGCTGATTCTTATTGTGGGCGCTCTCGACACAAAATAAAACAGACCCCCAAAACAAAGGCTTCCAGTCTCCAACCTAAAATGCAATTCCAACAAAAATCTTGCCGCTCTATAGCTTTGAAATAGCCTAACCAAATTGTCTTCCATTGTAAGTTTTTTAGTTTAAAAACAAAAAAAACAAAAAGCAAAACACAAAGATATTAAATTGAGGCCAGGCAAATTCTAGTAGTCTTTTTCAGATGACTTCTAAATCTCAGTAGCACCTCCCACTTCTTCCTGCTCACTTTTTATGTGGTTCCCTAATTGTGAATGGTTCCCAGCTGCATTGCCTGTTATTATTAGTGCTATGATGACTGCCATCATTAATTATCACATGCCGTTATCTTTCTTCTCAAAACGTTTCCCTTGAGCATTTAACACAAATATTTGTGGACTGTGCTTTTGTTAGCATTGTTGCAATTTGTTCTTCCATCATTATGAAAGGTAAGGTGTCTGTTTCATTGTTTCTTTCATTCCCCCAAGTAGCTGGAAGGGTTATAATCTAACAATCCTTATTTAATCCACTGGTTGGTTTGGAAAATGTAGGAAGAAGAAATGAACCGTAGGGTAGACTTAGAAGTGAGAAGCATGAATTTGGCAGATGTGATGTTTTAAGCTGTTTAAGACATGGGACATACTTTACAGAGTTCCTGAAACAAAAGTGAAAGAAATTAATTTGGTGATGGGAGGAATTTTCTTCTATTGAAGTAAGAGGGAAAGACAGCAGGGAGATGAGAGAAGTGCTTTTTTGGAACCACTTGATTTTGAACAGAGCAGGAAAATTATCTACTCTTTGCACCTCCCCCACCACCATATGCTTCCTTAAAGTTTCCTTTTTCTGTACTTGAAAGGCCCACAGAATTTAATAGTATTCATGCATTTGAAGTGCTAGGCTATTCCAAGCTTCCTCTGTTTTTGCATTTATCATGAGAAGTAGTGAACAAAAAATATCCAAGTTATACGATAAGATAAAAATAAATAATGATTATTTAATGAAAAGAATTAAACTAAAAGGCAGTTTTTTAAAAAGGCAGTTGACCTTAAATAAACTGAGATACAGGATCACAACCAGATTCAGGGACTAAATTATAGGTCAGTTTCCTTGAATGTCTAGGCTGAGAGAATTTAGTAGGTTACCACAGCAGAACACTAAATTGTAGACACCCGCAGGGGCCTGAACAAATTGAAACAACTTTATCAAAAGGTCAAATTTACTTAGGATGTGTTGAATTCAGATGTAATAGTAAAAGTAGATGGGGTGAAAGACCAAGAAATTCACAGATGTCCTTACAGGGGAACACTTGCAATAATTCCTACCAAGACAAAGCCTGCTTCTAAACCTCTGCTTTCTACAACCTTTCTACCAAACTGCTTTTTCTTTTCAACCCTTCTCTGGAGCATTATTTCAATTAGATTTTGTAAAGCCAAGGGGAAAGGCAAACAGTGCCTTCCAGGGCTCCATGGGACCCAGTCGTGATCCTGAACTTGTGCTTCATTAGGACCAATCCTCTCCCCATTTCTGGAAAGAAGGCGGGGTGAAGAGGCAGGCTTTGGAATGGGCAGACCCCTATTCCAATCCTGTCTTTACTGCTTACCATTGTGTGGGTCCTGGGCATACCTTTGATGTCAGTTTCCTTATTGCTAAAATGTATCTTACATATTAGTTGTTTTTTACTCGTTTGGTTTGCAGATTAGAAATAATGATACAAAGTGACCAGTAGGGTAAGAAAGGAAATGCATCTGGCAACACTGACTGCAAGACCCAGAGTGAGCAATGCCTGTTTCCACCTTTTATTTTTGGTTCCAAGATTCTACTCTGCCCACAAAAGTGATGCTCAGATTGGAAATAACTACACTGGCTTCTGCTGTACCTTCACTTTTGCAGCTTCCAGCCAATGGCAGCCACTGTCGGTTCCATTGTCTGAGGGCATATGGATAAAGCAGTAGGTAGAGATGAGGTAGCGAGCATGGGCAACCAACCTGTAGCAACCACCTGAGCTGTGGTCCTGCGGCTCCTTTCCCCACACCCATTTTTAAGCCATTCCCACTAGCAATCAAGGTTTCTGGGCCCACAGTACCCCCTGATGGCTGACATGGGGAACTTTCTTTTCCCAACTATTCCTGTCTTCTCTCTTAGTGGAACTCCCCTGTCTTTTACAGATCACCGCTTTGTCCATTCTGTCATGGACCATTCATTACTCACAAACTTTGTGTAGCCTTTCCTGCCTTGCTTCCTCCCCCTTTTAATTTCCTGTTCAATTATTTCAGGGATATCTATTTCCTTCCCTCTTTCTCTTTTTTTTCCATTTATGAATCCTCAAATTACTGCAATTATGGTTGATAGGTATAATGGTAGGATGAGTGCATTTGTCTATCTTTCAAGAAAACTCTGTACATTTGGAAGTAAAATAAGACTTAGTGTAGAACCAACAACATTAATCTTTAACATTCTCTGAGACATCCAGATTTCTTCCTAACCTGCACGAAAGAGGACATCATCTTTCTCTAAGTAACACTGATCTTTTCTTGACATTACTTTCCTATTTATTTAATTGCCAGTATTCTACTGGTTTGTCCCTATTTCATTGCAAATGTGATTCAGCTACAATAAGGGTTAAGTGCATTCCTGTGGGCTATTCAAACCAAAACACGATCTTTCAGCATTAGTTCTCTATGAAAAAGGAAATTCAAAGCTCCAAACAACTGTTGCAGAATAAACTTTGGAAAATATTACCTATTATAACTTAATATTGGAAATTTGAGGCTGAGAGTGGTACATTTTAAAAAATTAATATTGATGTCTGAATTCTCTGATTTTTATCTATTGAACCATGACATCTATTGGGATTAGTATTTGGAAAGTTATTCAGATGTAACCGATGTGGGCAGATGTTGATTCTTCTGTTATCAAAGAAAAAATACACTAATCAGATCTTGATTTGACATGGTATCAGAATGTCATAGAAGGTTATTAAATTCACTGCTATGACTATAGATTGCTTCTTAGTGAAAACACATAAAACATGCCTCAAAATATAAGTACTCATTTTCCTTAATGTAAATTCAAATAAGTCTTTGTTTGTCAAGGTCTCAGTTTAAAATATTTTAAAAAATACAAATGATTTGGGCATGAATTAAAATGGTATTAATTTTATGTTTAAATGCTTAATTCTTTTGATTTAGGAGAAGGGACCGCAAGTCCTGATAAAATAACTAAAAGATTTCTGCCACAAATTAACATCAAAAGGCTTAATTTTTCTAGTAGCTAAATACTTATCTTTAAAAGTAAAATCTTATAAAAATTGGTATGAAATAACTGAATCATTTAATAAAATGATAAATAAGCTCTTGTGACCATATATAGATAGGCATGAAAAATACAATTTTAAAGTGCTTTTATAAAAATACTTTCCTAATTTGGTCATAATTCAAGGTAATGCTTGCATAGGATTTTTTTTCCCTTTGGAATGATTTCCATATTTATAGAATTGAAATTATTTTCTCCTTTAACATAAAAGATACAAATTAGCTAAAGTAACAGGTAAATATCACCTAGCCAATTTCATCACAATTCCATGAAACTGGATATTCTACATAAATTCTATATGCATACTAATATAACAATAAAAATCAAGAATGATGTCATAAAATAGCTGTGTAGTGCAAAAGGTATTTTAACTGATCGTTCATCAAAGACTTATTTGATCTGACATATCCACATTTTTCTGGAAAGAGATATTTGCTTTCTGATAATGTATACCTTTTGAATTCATAAAGTTTTGGTGGTACAAATTAAAACATTCAGTGTTAATGTTTTTGAAAGCATTACGTTTAAATTATTTTCTCAGGACCCAAAGAGAAAACACCAGAGGAAACATAACCAGACTGGATTGTTTAAAACGTATTTTCCCTTTAATTAAATAAGAAACATCTGTCTAGGGATTTTGGAAATGAATGTAATCCATCCACACGCTGCCTGTACTAGTTTGCATCCAATGTCTAATATTTTGAAAGAAAATTTTTTCTTTCTGTAAAGAATTAAACGGCAACGTGGAGCGATGTCTGGGTCTACAGCAACTAAGACTTGCCTCCGGAGTTTGGGCACTAGAGAGGGATCTCTTTTTCCAGATCTGTCCTTGGGAAACAAACAAATTCTCTTCATCTTCAAGGTTAGGGTGTAGCTTTTGTATTTCTCCAAAGTATCCACTCACCCTGAAAATGCTCATCTCAGAACAGTAAGGAAACAGAAGTTGCTAAGGATGCTTTCAAACACTCAAGATCAAAATACCGTCCCTGCTCTAGGGTTCAGTAAACATGTTCCTCGCCTTTACTAAGGCTTGAAAAAGCTGATTTCTCTAGGGACCTACACGACCCACAACACAGACACATCAGACAGGCAAAATGAGTACGGTACAAAGAAAGCGGGACTTAGACTCCAGGGTGGCTCTGGTTCCTTCACACCAGCGCTCACGGTTCAGAAGGACAAATATCACTTACTGGTGGTGTCAAATGGTATCTGCTTGCACTGCGCAGACCCCTCCGCGGGCCAAGGACAGTAATAGACGGCTCCCCCTTCCAGGATGTCGGGCTGGCTGGTGTTGGCTTTGGGCGCGCCCACCAAGACACTCGCTCTGCGTGCGACAGGGTTGGAGAAAGTCACTCCTCGGGAATCAGGAAAGTGCGTGCATGCAGGGCGGCCTCGGAGCACAACGCCCGCGGGCACTGGAGGAGGGACAGAGGGCAATAATGTATTTATGATGGGGACCGACTGTCAAACTTGATTTCCTCTTGGAAACCTACGGGCGCCAGAAACCTGGTTTGGAAGAGGGTGCAAACGGTCCTAATTCCTCTCTAGGTGGAGCTATGTGTATACAGTGAGATGAGAGAGGAGTGGGGGGAAAAAGCCAAGGACAGAGCCCAGCTGCTTGTAGCGACAGCACTTGCGCCCAGACACAATTGTTACAGGGTATGTATAAACACACCCTGTTGTGGTCTTTGCTTTAACTCGCTTGAGGCTGCTCGGTCCCGTTCTCTCCTTTGTATGATGTGCGAGTCTTTGTCCCGGGGACTCCCCAGGACTTGCGTGTTCTAGGCAAGTGGCATGTCTCTAGTTCAACGTTCACAAGGCACTTCTAGCATGGAAGCAGAGAGCCGGAGGAGGGGGCGGGACCCCCAGGGGGCAGCGGGGCAGGATCCCAGGCGGCTTGGTCCGCCAGGCTGCGGGGACTTGCGCGGGGTCGGCGACAGAGCGCCAGGGACCCGACCGGTGTGCGGATTCGCCCGCGCGCGCCACCTCCCCGGCGGGGCGACTTACGTGCGGGCGTCGGGAATGTGGAAGTCCACAGCGTAGCCGAAGTAGCTGCCCTCGGGGCCGCTGTACACCGTGAGCTTGTCCACGTCCAAGTTGAACGCTTGCGAGGCAGGGGACCACAGCATCATTCCCAGCGCGGCCGAGACGCACCAGAGGGGCGCGAGCGGCTGTGCCCGGCTGCCCCGGGGACCGCGGCGGGCCCCGGCAGACATCGCCCTGCGCCCCGGCGGCTGCTCCCTGGGGAGCGGGAGCCGAGGACCCCGGCGGGGCAAATGGCGGGGGTGGCGCCCGGCGGTCCCCAGATGCCCGTGTCCCGGGTCGATGCGCTTGGCGCGCCCGCGGTGACAGTCCCCACGCCTGCTCCCGCCCGCCGCCCGGCCGGCTCGGGGGCTGGCCCAGGCGCGCTCGCCCTCCCCGGTGGCGGGCGGGGACCCGTGCGCTCGCGGCGCCTCCTAGAGGCGGGTGCGGAGCCGGAGACTCCCGGGCTGCCCTGGTCCCGTTGGTGGCCGGCGCCAGGAGCCTGCTGGGGCCGCCCGGATCTCTACTGCAGTCCCATCACAAGGACAATCTAAGTCTCGCCTCTGTCACCTCAAGTCGTTACTTTGAGAAGCAATGTCCCACGTGGAGCGAGGCTTTGCTCCAGTTTTCCCAAATGCACGGCTTGGGTGCAAGAATGGAAAGCGAACTCCGCCAGCAGGCGGGGACAAAGCCGTTAATCTGTTCGCATCCCCTCCGCAGCCTGACGACCCCTGGGGTCCATGCGTTTGTTCCTCTGTGGCTGAGAGTCAAACATGAAATGCAACAATCCTCTCCGCCCCCGAAGCCACCCCACCTCCCCGCAAAGCTGACTAATAAACAAAGAAAGCCTCCAGATTTTATTTAGGTCTTTCTCAAAGGCACCTTGGGCGTATTAAGTGACTTGGTAGTACATCTTCTGGCCCCTGTGCAACTGTGATGAAGACTGGCGAAGTTAGGAAAGTTGGGATTTATAGTTTACCCTCAGCAGGGGGAGAAGGGGTAGGTTAGAATCTCCAGGAGTTCCAACTTCAGTTCCCATCCACAGGGATTATGGGTCTCTTTCCACATCCCCTGTGTTGGGGATGAAAGGGAAGAGAAGAGTCGTCTAGATGCCCTCCCATGACACGTGGCTGGTCTTCCACTAGCACTGGACAAAACTGGGCAGCATGAAACTGGAGGGCCCTGGAGTTAGGTAGAAATGAAATTTAGCCACAGAAGAGGTAAGTAGTTTCTGAAGCATTTTAAGATTTGGTGGCAGATGTAGACTTAGGTAGGAATTTGAATAGGGGGCTTAGATTTGGGTGTTGTGGGAGGAGAAATTGAAGGAAAGTATTAAAGACACAGAGTCTGGGATTAAATAGTTGTGCCAGGGGTGGGAATAAAAGGGGGGGGGTTAGGGGGTGGCGAGAAATAGGGCCGAATGGATCACCGGAAGCCTCGGATCTAAGACCATTTATTGAGGCAAAGATCTGTCAGTTTAGAGCAGAAACAGGATGTACACACAGAGGTTCAGAAAGTTTAGTGGCAAGGAGGGTGTGTGTGTGTGTGTGTGTGTGTGTCCGGGGTAGTAGTTGGAAGGAGGAGAAAGCAATGAGCTGTTGCCCAAATTGCACTGGGAGATGGGGACTTCAACCTCATTAACAGAAGGAACGTGGGTTAGTAGCCTGGGATTAGTAGCATAGACTGCAGTGTGGGGAGTGGTTCTTCTGTCCTGCTGATGTGAGAATCTATCCAGAGAAAAATAGTTGAGCCCACTGGAAAGCTGGACTTTCTCATCTCCCTTCCATCAGAACCCACTTGGTAGATTGGTTTGAATTTTATGTCTTTACTTGTCCCTGTAAAAATATTAAACTCTCAGACAGTTTGCCTGGTATATCATCACGTCTGGATAATTTCCTAAATGGTAGTCCTTTCCCAGATAATGACTTGGGAATAGATGGTAGAAGACTGTCTTCTTGTACTGGACACAGGGTCTGCTACTCTTGTCAAGTGACTATTGTTAACAAAAGTGATGTTCCCCGCAGTAAATTTCAATGAGTGATTCACATGCAGCCTATGCATGGGAACATTCAGAGCTGTCTTGGACACTGAAAGCAGAGGAGAACCTGTACTAGATCATTTCCTGACACTGGCATGCTGACATTTGGCAATTTGTCATATTGCATGCAAGCCTTAGGTTGCTGTGAAACGTCTAAATAGGTAGAAAGTAACAGCATGATCCTAGATGTGCACTTGACCCATGTACTAACTTACTGGGCAGAACTAGTTACACAATGCTTTGATCTGAATAGGACAACATATCACCAGGGTATCCCCCGTTGTGCCCACTTTCTTAGTTCCCTGGCATATTCCTTACCTTTATTCTTTTTGTTCCAGATAGTGTAGATAAGGAAAAAAAATTCTACTTATTGACACATCATTGGTTATATTCTTGTTTCTTTCTTCCCAAACACAACTTACTCTTGACTTATTCAAATTTGTATTCTTAATATTGTCACTTTCCACTTTACAGATGAGGACATGAAGGTCTGGGGAGGTACAATAATATACATATTCACAGAGTAAGTAGGTGGTAGGATTTGAACCCAAGTCTATCAGATGCCGAAACTAGTTCCTCATGCTGTTAGGTCGATCAGGAATACTTTTCTAAAGCCATGATAATAATGAGAAGTCACCTTTCTAGAGGCAGTAAGATATTCCCAGGTGGCCCTTTGGGTACACCGGTGAGTAGTGCTTGAGAGAAGGCACAAGGCGGCCGTGTACTCTTACTTTTCCAAGGGATCTTAGCAAAAGGCTTAGTCGCACCTTGGCGTTCAAAGAGTGGTGGAAAAGCAAACTAACTTGAAGCTCTTTGACCTCCATGGGAGGCCAAAAGCCTGGGAGAGTAGTGATCCTTCCAAGAAGCGAGAAAAAAAAACACCCTACAATAATTGCAGGGAATGAATAAGTCTGAATAGGTGTCTTGTACACTTCACTGTTCTGACACTTGGGAACCATGCCAGTTGGTAAGATCTGGGGAATCGTCAAAGAAACACATGGACAGTGTGACAGGTCTCATGCTGAATGAGAAGTTTGACATTTTAAAGATCTACTAGCTCTGATTTATTTGTCAGAAGAGCTAGCCTGGGAATTGTTTATCATGCGTGTGAGTATGTGTGTATGTTTAATACTGGGAAAGGTATACATAGTTGTTTCCTTAAAAAGAAAAGAAAAAAAAAACTCAAAGGTCAAAGAAGGAACAGATTGGGCCCAAACTTTCTAAAAATAAACAAGTAAAGAGCACCACAGGAAAAAATGATCTCTGACTTGTAGCCATGTACAAAGCACTTATAAATAGAGATGCTGTAGCATTTAACCAGTTAGTACATACTTTTTAACCAAATGTATTCATAACTTAATGACCAACTATGATTTCTGAATCTATTTAAATCTTTATATGATGAAATGTGATGATGTCTTAAAATCAAGATGTATGAGAGTCCTGCTATGATTATTTCATTAATATTAACCACACTTTCAATATGCTAACTAAACTATTTACCAAAAATAAGCCAGTGTGAAAGCAATGTGTTCTTGGAGGGTTCACCAGCTTTAAAAAAACGAATGTACCAGAAATAGAAGGTTGTTTTTCAATCTCTTCTTGTATTTTGGGTAATTGAAGTGATCTCAGATTTTTCTTTGGCCCATCTCTACTCAGCTTTCTTGCAATATTAGAAACAACTGATTAGTTGATAGGGGTTAGTTAAACTTACTGGGGGGGAGGAGACCTTTCAATTCATCAAGCGTCTCTGCTGACATAAGCTTTTGTCTGCAAATTTTTTATTCTGGTCCCTGGAGGATGAATTTCATCATTGTAAAATCTTTTTTTTTTCTTTTTGATGATTTTGTTTGTAAGTCTTTTTTATGATTTCCCTTCATGATTTTATTAGCCACTTGTAACTTAAAAGTGCCGCAGCAGAGACCTCTGTGCTAGCAGAAGTTCATGTGCAGCCAACAGTTGGTTTAGCTGAAGGAAAATTCCCACTCGTCGGAATCAAGACTTCCTTTTTAGAGCAAGCCTTTTAAAAAAGAGCTCTGCTTTATACAAAAACAAAAATAAACAAAGCATCCTTCCTCTAAAAGGAAGGTAACTGAGAAAAACTATGCTCTTCCAAAGTATTGTCATGTGGGGGTAAATCTTCCTGAAGGTCAAAGCCCTTAGGGGGTTGAGGGTAATTGAACTTATAATTAGGATCTAGAATGATCTGCAGATTTCAATTAGGGCCAGTTCACTCCAGAATCCTGAAAACCCTACACACCCCTGGTGGCTGAGTTGGATGGACCTTTTAGTAACTACTGGCCAAATGACTACAGGGCATTTCGGGGAGGGAATGGGACTCATAGCATCTTAGTCTTAAATTTAGAGTCTGGCAATTGAGGAGCCCAATTCCCCGAGGGCTCACATTTGAGTCCAGTGCAAAGGGAGGCTGCAGGAATATATTTAAAAGGCTTAAAAAAAAAACCTTAAGTCATCATAAAGTGCTAGGGTTCAGAGCAATACCACTCCTGTCCTTGGGAAAGAGAGCAGTGAAGATGGAAAATGAGGCATTCTCCCCACTCCTGCACACACTCAGACTCAGAAGCAGAGGCTTTCTGCGAGCACAGAGTGCTGTAGACAACTTCATGGACCCTGGACAATGGCAACAGCAGCAATGGATTTGGTTCCTGGAAGGTCAGGAAGCTCTTCTAAATCTCCTTCTTTCAGCTCATGGGAAAGGCTGCAGGACCCAGGAGCGATGCCTAAGGTCTCCTACAAATTGTTGGGACAGCCATGGAGGAAGTCCTCCAACTGCAGGAGCACGTGGAAGCCACCAGCATCTGTTATATTGATCTGAATGTGTTTAAAACCCCAGGCTTGGTTGCTGTGTTTATTTTGCCTTTAGAACCACAAGAACGTCTAGGACTGCCCTCTAGTGTCTGTGATCCTATTCAAGTGTGGGATTTTCCCATGAATAATACAAGTTTTCGTTGTGAAAAATGATGTAGCCTCACAGAAATTTTGATGATTCTTACAAATGGAGTTCTAAAATATATTTCATTAAAAAGTTTCCAAATATTGAGTGGAACTCTCCCACATTTATTAAGGTTATTTCCTTTTTCTAGCTTTGCAAATCATCAGGTGAAAAGGAGGAGAAGAAGAAGGAAGAGACAGAGAAGAAGAAAGGAAGAAAAGAAGGAAGGAAGGGAAGGAAGGAGAGAGGAAGTGTCCCATAAAAACAATACTTAATATTTTCCCTAAAGACAAAATCCAAATTAGATTTCTCTGTCATCCATGTAAAAACTATGTCCTACTCAACCTCACTTGCC